GTCGAAATACGCGAACCATCCAGACGAACGGAAGCTCCCCTGGACACGGACGACAACGACGGCGCCCTACGAGAAGAGCTCGACCTCGTCGAGGAAATTCGGTCAGGAGCAGCCCTCCGAGAAGCCCGGCTGAAACAACAAGTAGCACTTCGCCACAACAACAAAGTCCTAAAACGCGATTTTCAAAATGGCGACTTAGTTCTGCGCAGAAACCAGAAAGACTCACACGAGGGTAAATTGGCTGCGAATTGGGAAGGCCCCTACCGTGTCCGTGACAAGACGGAGCACGGGGCCTATTACCTCGAAAACCTGCACGGGGAACAACTAGCTCGACCATGGAACGCCGCGAAACTTAAGCGGTACTACAGTTAAAACACTGCCCGCGACGACCCATCGTCCCGACCACTGAGGGGCGACATGGTACCACCGCACTCCCACGCGTCCACTAACGACCAGAGAAAAGCAAGCCCTGCCTCTCGTGTGCGCGGGCAGAAGGCCTCGCTCGGTGGGGAACACCTCGACCGAGAGTTCCCACCGCTGTACCAAAATCGGCAAGACACCCAACTCGCGATGAGACGTCCACGCCACGGGGAGAACTACCCCCGAAACGGTCTGGCCACACCGCCGGCCAAACTGGCCAGTTTCCTTCACCGCCGGTAACAAGTTTGTCGAGCTAACACCCCAGACGGGCCCAAAAAGCATACCAACACATGCATATCAAACATATAATTCAAGCAAACAAATAAATACGAAAATAAGACGAGCATAAACATCATGCAAATATCAAGCGCACACTTAGAAAATTCTCAAAAGATATATTAAGCAAAAGCGGGTACCAACCCAGTAGTCAATATTACACGAACAAGGACACGCAAGCCCAACAAGAAAAACAAGTTACAAAATATCGGCACACAGGCAGGAAACTACGAGCACGCAGGCCCGGGAAACCTATACAACCTCGCCCTCCTGCTCAGCAGCCACGGGGACATCGTCGGGAACGACAAGCTCGGGGTCAACCACCTTCCCATCGACGATCTCATGATACAGCCTAATCCCTTCCACGATCAACGTGACGCCGGGGTTGACAACTTGGATCTGCGCAACGGCGCTCTTGAACCCGACCTCGACAGCGTCCAGACAATCGCCTTCCAACACCCGAATCCGGGCGACCAAATCAGCATGCGTGATCAACCGCTGGTCCTCCTCAGTCTCGTCCTCGGCCGGACGAAGTGCGTTGTCCAGGACTTCCCTGCGAACTTTCAGTGCTTGCACCTCGGCCACTACCGCCCCCAACTTCTCCTCCATCGAGGTCACCTTCTCCTCAGCACCCTCCGCTCGCTTCCGCTGGTCAGCAGCATCTTTCCGACTCTTCTCCAGCTCCTTGGTAAGCTTGGCCAGGCGCGACTGCATGAAGGTAAGGCCCCCCTGCAATTTGGACAGCTCAGCAGCAGAGCAACCCTCCTCGCTCAGGATAAGGGCCATCGTGAACGTCTGCATCATCGCGGCCAAATCCTCCGCCAGGATACGTCGATGAGACTCTCGATCGGCTTCACGGACAACCTTCACTTCCCCAGCAGAGACGGTAGGAGACCGGGCCCCATGAAAATAGCCCGGATGTTGATGGCACGGCGGAACGACATAGCCCTCCTCGGCCGAGCCGGTCGTTAGATCAATTAAGCCACGGGGCTCCTCGGATCTCGGCCTCTTCGCAGCTCCCTGGGACGCAGAAGACTGGCTCTCCTGGGGAGAAGAAGACGAACTCTGACCTCCCGGCGTCACGGCCTCCTGCCCAACCAGTTGACTCACCCGCGTCTTTGGGACCGCGACAGCCCTTGACGCGCGTAGCTTCTTCACTCGCTCCTCGATGGAAGACATGTTCGCTGTAAAAACAAACAGAGAGTTAGCAACAGACAAAACATACGATCACGAGAAAGAATAAAACGTCCCTACCTAGATATTCCAGAGCGTCCGCCCCCGTGGCGCAACCGAGCAGGGTCTTCGTGTTAATCAACCTTTTCGTCGTCCGCACGTTCCCCTGCGCGTCGAGGATGTACCGACCGTCGGGCGTCACCTATTTCGACGGGGGAAGATCCCGCACGAAGGCCACTATTTTCACGTAGGCGGCCATATCCCTCTCGTCGAGAGTCCTAGCCCGCACGATGTACCGGTCAGTGACACGGTTGAAATGCTCCGAGGTCCACAACAAATGTACCTTGGGGAGCCACGCAAGGAACCGCTGACCGTCTACCATTCGCTCCCCCTCGGTGAAAAGAGTATCCGAACCTTCCTAGGTGATCGGTTTCACGAAGAAGAACCGACCCTTGAAATCTCGAACGGAATCGCTGTACGTCTTGAAGAGCTTGGTCAGCTGCTTAAACGAGACCCATCCCTGACGATTGTTCACCGACTGGTGTTGCAGGTGGAAGATGCGGAAAAACAAGGGCACCGTGGCCTCCACCTCGAGATAAAAGCACACCACCTCGAACGCGCGGATAAAGGCCAGAGCGTTAGGATGCAGCTGGGACGGGGCCAAACACAACCAATCGAAAAGGCCCAAATGGAAAGCGGAGAACGACAATCTGAGTCGGGCCTCTTTGAAGTAGAACTCGTGCATGGGAAACATCCGCCGCCCATATCGCGAGCAGATGCGATGGTGCTCCTTCGGGCGATACACCTGCCAGTGTTACGGCTCCCCTTCAGGCGTATCCTCCACGATAGCGTAGACATCGGACGCGTCGGCCACGAAGCAAGAGGGGGTGGACAACGGCTCTTCGGCCACCCACTCTTAGACGGGAAGGACACGCTCGTCGAAATCCGGGACCTCGGGTTCATTATCTTCGACCATCGTCCCCGGTATCAAGGCCGACATCTACACCTGAAAAGCAGAGGACAATGGTGAATTCGATGGCCAAGATCAAATCCACCCTTCCACCGCAGGTCAAGTGAAAGGGCGACAACGACGAGAGAATGACGAGCGCGCAGGCGCTCCCCGCTGCTCCTCCACGGGGCGTTCAAAGGTTAACCTATCACCCCTCCCCGGGGTACTCATCGGAAAATGCACGCGTCCCCGGGGCATTCATCGGAGAAATCCCCCATCCTCGGGGCATTCATCGGAACAACCAATCCTCCCTGGAGCACTCATCCAAACTAACCCAGAAAACCGCCAGATACGGCGGAACTCGCGTCTCTCCTCGGAGCATTCATCACGCCCCGACCACAGACCCTAATTAAACGGCAGAAATAAAAGGAGAAAAGAGAGAAACTCACTTGTGACGGCGGCGAACGAGAGGGAGAACTAACGGCGCGGCAACGATCTACAACAACGACGGACGAGCAGGAATCTCAGAGTTTCACAGGTAAAGACAGCAAGGTGGAAAGTAAAAAAATGAGCGGGGACCCCCATATTTATAACCCGACGCAGAACTCGAAGCGACACTAGGCTCTTAAATGACCTAGGGTAGCCGCCATACTACCCATTCAACGTGCGACACGTGGCGGTAACCTGACGGTCGCGTCCCTTCATATACCTTTCCCCCGCTCTCCCGACGACAAGAAGACCCTCGCGCGTGCACGCGTTCCACCGGGCACAAGACCGACGAGCCTCTCGCCTCGCTACCTCTCTTCCCGAAGCAACGAACTTAAGTCCTCGCTCTTTCGCCACAGAGCTTCGACTTGGGGGGCTCCTGTTCTGGTCTGGGCCCAGCCTCGCGGTCCAACCCAATAACGCACAAGGCCCATTAAGTAGGATAGCCTGACCGGGCACACAACCCCCTAGGACGGGAAGGATACGCTCCCCGCCGAGCGGGACGGCCGTCCCGAAGCGTCCTCGGCGCCCCCTTTTGGCCGAACAGAACGCCCCCGGGCCATCGGACAAGACCACATGGCTCTTCCGCATCCTCGCGTACTCCCCTCCGCGGGGAGAACAACGCGCCTCCGGGGAACCTCCCGAGCTCCCCTCTGCGGGGAGAACGACGCGCCCGGTGCACGTTCTCCACGTGCTCTTCTCCGCGGGGACACGTCATCAACCAACTTCCCACCTCCGAAAGAGTAGGTCAAACCCACTTTCCGGAGATCAAGGAGCATTTAGACTAGGGCGAAAACCACGTCCTGGTCTTCACTACGCCACGTAAGCCCTAGCAGTCACCTGGGTTGGGCCTAGCAATCCAGCCCAACGCAAGTGACCGTTGGCCCAGCGCAAGTGACCGTTGGCCCAACGCTGGGGTCTCTCTATAAGTACCCTCTTCCTCAAAAGGGTTAGGTAATTCACTTCTTACCCACTTTCTGTACTTTGCTCTCACTCTGCCCAGATTCTTACTTTGGAATCAGAGTGTCTTGCAGGTACACCCCCCTTCTCCTCCTCATCACCGGTGAACAAGTAGCAGTCCAACTGAGTGTGGCTAGCCCGTGATCCCCTTCTGATCAGGTCAGATCAAGTAATATAATAGATAAAAAAGAAAATTTGAAACCATGCCTAGGTTGCTTATATCATTGGCTGGGCCTGGCCTAAATGAACATACAAATCAAAACAAAAAACATTCTTTTCTCCAGATGTAACTACAACAACAGTGACAAAAAAAAATTGATGTTGTTTTACACAAAATGAGAATTTTCTTAACAAGTCTCTTAACTCTTAAGTTTTTCTGTTGAGAAAAGTCTTAACTCTCAAGTTTAAAAACATCATCTTATCTCCTTTTAAGTCTACACTTGAATAAATTATTTGACTTATCTGGATTTTTCACACCTCATAGTCCAAAAATAATAACGACAGTTCAATTTTTGTGTTGTCCTATCATCCCATCTTTGAAACATAAACAAACATTATAGTATCAACGAATTTTTTAATATCTCTATGTTGACTGTTACAACTTACTACATTACATACATTCTTTGAAATTTCAACTACTTTTCATATTGACACGCACGCGCCACCCACCGCTTTAAACATGTTTCGTGTTTTAAAAAAAGTGCCACGCAACACCTACCAGTCAACTCAGTTCAACTCACTGAGTCTCACCTCGTCCACCTTGTTCCACCTTCAAGTTCAACTCAGCCACCGAGCTACAACCACCACCACCCCCGCACGACGACGGAGAAACGCTTCCTTTCCAATCCCTACTAAGAATTCTCTTAAACGACAACATCCGACTCATCGGCGACCGAAACGACGACGGCGAGTCACAAGACTCGTCTCGAAAACCTTCGTTGTTTCTCGTAGGCACCTCAACCGCCACATCCGTAAAAGACGGCTTTCTTAACCCAACCGAACTCGAACAAACCTCTTTCCCGGTTCGGTTCGAATTCTCGTTTTCCAAACCCGAACCGTGACTCGAACTAGAACCCGAACCGGATTCCGGTTCATAAACCGTTATAACAAACTCGGGCTGTGATTCGAATGTGGACTCAACCGGTGCACGACAAAGTGGACACGTGGAATGAGAGTGAAACCACATGTCAATACATTCGGTGTGGAAATTATGGTTACATTTGGGTAAAACCCGACCCGGTTCTCCGGATTCAAACTCCGACAAACATACGGCGCATTCCATGGCGTTTTCCGGGTGAGCCTTCGGATCGTACAAGAATAACGGTAGTTTAGCGATTACAGAGGCTTCAAGGCCCTGAGTTGTAGCGACGGAGACGGTGGTTGTTGGATTGTCGGTGAAGAAAACCAGCTGACTGCGACGGCGGAGACGGTTACGTCGGCGGCGAGATTGGAGAAGGTACCAGCGGGCGTAAATATGGAGACACAGCATTAAGACGATGACGAAGAAAAGAAGGACTATGGCGCAGAGCATGATCTTGCCACTGAGGTTGTAACTCTTTGGATCGAAGTTGTTGGGAATCTCGGAGTTTTCATTGTTGTACTTGGGTATGGGTTTATCGTTATTTTCCATTTGTGAAAGAAAGAGGGAGAGAGTGTGAGTGAGTAAAAGAGAGGTGTGAAGAGGAAAGGAAAAAAAGGAAGAATAATTAAGGAAGAAGAGAAAGGAAGGTTTAAGTAAGAAAAAGGAAAATAGAAGAAAGAGTGAGGAAGGTTCTTGAGGGTTTCTTAGCTGACACATTCATATGATAGAAATGATGAAGGGTTTTCTAGTATGGGGAAATGTGTTTTTAATTTCTTACTCTTCACACCTGCACTCTTGTCTGAAGTGGAACAAAAGAACACCAACTTTGACGCGGTTTTCTTTTTTATATGCTTTTTATACAAAATAATTGTAAAATCCTCTTTAAAGATTCTAAATAAATAAAAAATCGAATTACAATTAAGTTAAATTATTATTTTAAAGTCTTAAAAAATATTCCGAATACTCGTTAACATCATAATTGTAAATCTTATCATATATATATATATATATATATATATATATATATATATATATATATATATATATATATATATATATATATATATATATATATATATATATATATATATATATATATATATATATATATATGGAGAGAGAGATCGTACCTGATAAGAGAGATTCTTAGGCTATCACGTATCTGAGCTGTTAAACGGTTGACTGGACGAACATATGATAAGTAGGAACACTTCTGGTTTAACTGGTGAATCTTCTCATTATAATCCATACTTTCATGCAGTCAATCAATGATCCACTTCAGTCTTGTCCAATCCTTTCACATCATACTCCAAGATAATCATTTTACCTCATCATTCTCCCGTATGACAAGATAGAGTACTTCTTAGTCAAGATGTGAATCACAAGTTCTGCACCAGATCTTCAAGTTCTTTGTCAAGGAAAAACCAAACCATATCCACTGGTTCTTTATCTGCCCACAACTGGACTTACTTCTGCCTAGTAATCCAACTAAAGATCTTCAGAGAGCACAGCTCCATCAGCTTGATCAAATACATCTCCAAAAGAGGGTAATCTTCCATACACAACTTAGGGCTTCTACCACAAGCTCCAATATATGAACAGAAACAAATCCTCTTTTGGTCTTCAACCAACTACCCTTCTGCATAAGAGTAATTAGTTCCAAGCATGAACAGTCCCAGAACCTTCTGTGGTCTTCAAATGACTACCCTTCTGCACAAGAATAGTTTTCTAAAGGCACACTGCTTAAATAACCAAATGCCACTGTTTGGTTATTCAGCCTCTTTCAGAGCTCTAGAAAATATGCTGATTCACCAGGCCACTTTGATCTTCAAGTCACAAATTCTACTTGCTCCAAAGCAAGACATCTACTCCTTCACACAGCTCCCGCAAACTGCATGAGATGAAGCATTAATTTCATTCATACCTGAGAAGATCAACTTATCTTTCAATGATGTGCCACAACATCAATGAAGGCCTTGAAGTTACTGCTTGATGTCACTACATCGGATACGACATCCTGCTGGAGAGTTCAGGCTTTCATTCTGCCACTTGGAAGACCCTCATCACTCTATCAGAACAAGAGTACATAGACTTGATATCAAGTTGGAGTAGACGACCTCTATTCTGCTTTGTTGTACCTTGAAGTGCATTTGCTTTAGGAACTCTTCTTTAGAGAAATCAATCATGCCAAAGCTTGATTCTTCAAAGAGGATGGATAAAGTAAATCTTTACAAAAGGAATCTCGCTTTCCTTAAGCAGAGACTTCTTCAGAAAATCAGAGATAACTGCCACTTATCCTTAACCTCCAAACTGAGCAAGATCTCATGCTCCTGTGCACTTAGATTAGAAATAAACTGACCCAAGCAGAGCTACCAACACCATCTTCTAGACCAGTTTCTTGCCAGGAACCTTTCTAGATATGCTTCTAGTAGAGACTAGAACACACCTGCTGTACTCCAATAAGCTGATTCAAGAGAACTGTCTTCATCTCCACTTCCATCAGCACTACATTCTAGTCTTAGTTTCTTGCCAGGAAACTTACTAGAATAAAGTCAGATCCTACCACACATGCGTATGCTACTTGTGATTCACTCTTTGAATCAACAAAATTCTGCATAATCCCTGCTGATGGAATGTCTTAACATCTGGTTGAACATCAGATCCTTGAAGTGGACAAGGCAGATTAGGTACATTATGCTTATGCTGCAACTGATGAGACATCTTGATCATTGACTAAGGATAATTCATTAAATATTTGTGAAGATCTCAAATAGCAATGAATCTTAAATCCTTATAACCAATCCTTCTCTGAACTTCAACAATCTTGAACTTCATGGATAACCAATTAAATACGTGAGCAGTCCACACATAACAACTGATCTTAAATCCACACAACTTGTTGAGAAGACCATCTGACAGATACTTCACTTAATATCAAAAGTATTCTTTAGCAAAAGTATCTTTAATGTTGAAATATCAAGGCTGCCATCCTTGACTCAACCTTTCTATGACTTCTTCTGCTGATAGAATCCTTGCAGGTCATGAGTGGTGAAAATAAATCACCTCCCACACAACAGAACAACCCAAGCACATAAGCACAACAACAACCAGCAAGATCCATATTTTGTCAGACCAATCAGAGCAGTAGAGACCACCATCTTGTAACCATATATTCGCATGTATATAGGCCAGTCTTCTCCCAGGGCTACCAGAGTTCTTTCATTAGAAAAATATACAGCGGAACCACCAAAAGAACATCTTCAACATGTCTTAAACAAGATGTCAGAGCATCTTATAGGTCATTATACATACATAGCCACTCCTCCTTTGGCAAAACATTCAACAGGTCACAGAAGCTCAGAGGGCACATCAACAGAAAACTCAGAATCCTTAACCTCCATAAGCAGCAGCTCAAACATTTAGCAAGATCATCAAATCAGCTGCCATTTCTCCTTGTTTAAAACCACCAGAAAGTATCTCTTAAGATCTCATCCAGAACAGACAGGATGCCTGCTCTGATACCAATTGAAATTCTGGTATGCAGATCTCATATGTCCCAAGAACATTGATCTCCGCTCAACAAGGACGAGGACAGACCATGACCAATTTAAATTCCTTTAAGAATTAACAATGTCATGACCAACGTCATGACCTCTATTGTGACATCTGCGTACTGACAGACTATTTATCTAAACATTTAAATTGTGCAGAACTGTAAATGCTGAAAGATAAATAACACAATGAATTGTTAACCCAGTTCGGTGCAACATCACCTACATCTGGGGGCTACCAAGCGAGGAAGGAAATCCACTATTAGCAGAATCAATTCAGAGCTAAACTCCCTCGTTTACAACTCCTCACTTAATCTCTACCCAATACAATTTATGCCTAGAGACCACTAGACAAGAGTATACCCACTTACTCCCCCTCAATCACAACAGTGATATACAATTCATTACAAAAGACAGACTTCAGAAGACACTCTTCAAAGTCATAACACTTAATTTTACTTAACAGCTTCAATCAAGGACAATGAACACAACAGTTCATACACACTAAACCAATGTAATTATCCAGCAGACAATTGCTTGGTACATAAGGAATCCTAAGACTCCTACACACGTGAAGAATCACTTCTCCACTCACAAAACACACGTGAAGAGCACCACTCCTCACTCACAAATATGTCTACCACAATGTATCAAAAGATACAAAGGGTGACTTACACACAAGGGACTCTCAAACCCTAGACCTCTATGTTACACTCTGGTTTTTCTTGATCTTAGTGCTTGCTTTCCTCTGCTTTTGCTCCTCCTTTTATAGCAATGCAGACTGGGCTTGGGCTGGTCACAAGTAACAAACATTAGGTTTAACAAAGTAAACCTAATTTCCACAATTCAAGGTGCTGTCAAATTAGGTCACAACAGCTTCATGTTATGTCCAGCCCTGACTAGAATCTCGCCTGAGATAACTAAGAAGCCATAATAGGTTTCCTGAAATTTAGCATGAGATATATCACGTATCATAACAGAAAAACAAACCCTGCACGCCTGATGTCATACGACCAATGTCATGACATTCAGTATGACATTTAGCTTTACTTACTCTTAGCTTTCCAGCTTGCCCTGCTGAACACTTCTACAGAATCTTCTTCATGACAGTAGAAACAAATGTTTTATAGTTCCCTAAAAAGTATCAAAGATCCTTTTTATGAACACCCATTAAATCTGCACTTTGTTTCTAATAACTCTCTTAGGCCTGTACATACTAATGAGGAATATCCAACAGGACCAAAACACTTCTGTCAAGAGATATAACATAGCAGCCCTTGCTGTACCAGACATTGATGTCATGACATTCAGTATGACATTCATGATAGCAGATCTGTCATCAGCTCATGCTACACCACAACTCCTGCTGTTTCTCACACATGACAGTAGTTCTGTCATGACAGCAGATGGATATCGTGATGGATGTCACGACATTCAGCATGACATTCACATTAAAACACTCCACAACAATTTTTTCACTACAGCATATGGAGATGTTATAACATCCTGCTTAACAACAGTGCAGGATCATGTTTTACCAAAATTTAGCCAATCATAGAACCATGGACAATTCTATATCATAGAACCATGGAACTAACACATATGTCTTGAGCTTATTCAATGGCTGTGACTTTCATGGTAAACCTCTTAGGCAATGATATTAAGATCTTCCTCACTAGCTTTTCTTCAGACATCTTTTCTCTCAGAGCTCCTGAGGTGTTTGTGTAACACCGTTTTTCTACCCCAAAATTATCAAGGCAAAATAACACATAAATTAGAGTGAATAAATAAATCTCATTAAAAAGCCACAAAAGGGCGTACATTTCTCAAAGCCAACAAAATTGGTCAATACTCCGTAACAACGGGTTTTCCTCAAAGTACATCAAACAACATAAAGCAGCGGAACTCAAAGCATAAATCAAGGTTTCTCCTCAAAAGGGAACATCAGTAAAATAACCCAATGATATAAAATCAACTCAAAGAACCCAACCAAATATT